CAAATCAGCCGAATGCACCCTAGCAGAGCTGGATTTATTTTCAGCCCCTATGACGCAGTTATCGATAGAGGACAAGATTTACACAGAAATTTTACCGGTGTCGGCTCTGACCAGAGGCGGTCCTATCGAGTTTGTGATTCCAGGCGGCGACAAATATCTTTACTTAAACGACACCTTGCTTCATCTACGCATCAAGATCACCAACGCAGACGGTAGCGACCTGGCTAATGACGCTGTAGTGGGGCTAATTAATTATCCTCTTAATACTATATTTTCACAATGTGACATCACGCTGGGAGACCGATTAATATCTCAGTCAAGCTCCACCCATCCTTACAGAGCGATGATTGAAACTCTACTCAACTATTCTGAAGATACGCTAAAGAGTCAATTTAGCGAAGGTCTTTCTTACAAAGACGTGGCTGGAGCGATGGATTCTATCGTCATAAACAACGGTCCGAACGCGGGATTAAATAAAAGGGCCGCTTTCACCGCCAAATCCAGAGAAGTTCACCTGTTAGGGGCGCTTCATGCTGATTTATTTTTCTGTGAGAGAGCGCTGCTTAATTCGGTGGATTTGAGAATTAATTAACAAGAGCCAGCGACGCATTTTGCCTGATGGGAGCCCGTGATTCTACATTTCAATTGAGAATTTTAGGAGCTTCTCTTTTTATTAAAAAAGTTTCAGTTTCTCCCGCGGTCCGACTAGGCCATGCTTCTGCTTTAATGCGAGGAAACGCCCTGTATCCGCTTTCCAGAGTTAACGTTAAAACATATTCTATGCCTGAAAATTCGAGGATGTATACTCAAGAGAACCTGTTTTTGGGAGCGGTGCCAAAGTATATTGTGATAGGGATGGTGCATCACGAGGCCTTCACGGGTCGGAGAGACCTGTCACCCTTCAACTTTAAACACATGGATGCTGAATACCTAGCACTGTGCCAGGAGGGGAGACAAATCCCTGCCAAAGCTTTCCAGCCCCAATTCAATCACGGGATTTCGGTCAGAGAATTTTACAGCATATACTCTGCAACAGGTCGGCACTTAAAAGACCTTCCTCTATCCATCGACCGAGAGCAGTTCGATCAGGGGTTCGCATTATTCTCATTTAACCTTTCCCCTGCAGAAGACGCCGATGCTCTCTCGCCCGTTTCTAACGGCAACTTAAGGTTGGAGATTAGGTTCAGAGAACCATTACCGCACACGACGACGTTGATTGTGTACGCCTGTTACGACTCGGTGTTGGAAGTGAATTCAAGAAGACAAGTTTTGGTGGATTATTATTAATTATGAATAATCACCAGCTGGAGAGTCTGCTGCACCATCTTATAGGGAATCGGTTCCACGGAGTCTGGGCGTGCGATCAGCTGTCTTTTCTCCCGCATAAATATGCAGGACCTGCCTATTTCATCGTAAATACACACCCCTCAGATCTGCTGGGGCAGCATTGGTTGGCTCTGACTTTGGAAGGAAACACAGCCTCCTTTTTTGATTCCTACGGGATCCCTCCGCAATCTGAATTTTATCCTGCTAGCATTGTAACATTTTTAAAAGAGAGATCCTCAGAAATAATGTACCATAATAAACAGCTGCAGGACACTATGTCTGTGACGTGCAGTCAGCATTGTGTATATTACTTGTGTAAAAGAGCCTCCGGTTTAATGCTGGAACAAGTAGTTTATTCATACCCGGGTGATGTGATAAAAAATGACATCATGGTTTCAAATTTTGTAAAAAAAAATATCAGCACTGTATAAAAAAACGAAAATATTGTTCTTTTAACCACGGTGCATGCTCCATGCAGATGTTTAAAGATTGTTACAAATTGTTTGCATGAAATTTTACTTTTTATTGTAATTTCTTATTTTGTGAAATATTTTTGCTGTAATTTTGTGAGAAAAAAAAACAAATGTACGCATGAAATCAATTCAATAAATGTTTTTATTTAAAAATTTGTATTTTCTATCAAAAAAAAAAAGTCTTAAGGGGAAAAATTAACCCATTTTGAAGTTTTTTTAATACCGTCGAACGTTGGAGAAAGAATAATCTTTTTTTCTCTTCTCGGGGTTTTTTTTAATTCCGTCGAACGTTGGAGAAAGAATAATATTTTTTTCTCTTCTCGGGGGTTTTTTAATTCCGTCGAACGTTGGAGAAAGAATAATCTTTTTTTCTCTTCTGGGGGTTTTTTTAATACTCTCAGGCTCGATGTGCAGATGCTGCTCACGGAGCTGCGGGTTATTCGCACCCTCTGTCTTTATACGCAGATACTGCTCGCGGGTTATTCACAGAAGATACTGGAATATTTAGTTCATGTAGAGTACTGAGGAAATCAGTCCATCCTGCAGGCTGGAGGCTTTGAGCTTTTCTTTTAAACGGAACCAGAAGGTTTTTGAGTAAATCAGTCAAATGGGATCCTCTGGCGACTCTTCCTTTGCAGACGAATTCCCCTCATCTTCGCCGTTTCCAGGTTCAGACGCGAGCGCAGGATCATTCTTAGCAAGCTGCACAGGTGCAGATAATTAAGGCTCTTCTAATTGACCTTGCTTGATTAAAGACAGATATCTTTGCAGCAAAGCGTCATATTTTTTAATTTTCTCGTATGAAGTTAGTCCTGGTTCATCCAATATCGCTCTCATTTTAGAATCCAAATCCTCTTCAGCCGTTTCTCTGATAGAAGCCTCCGGCTGATTCAAACGTTTGAAGTGACGCGGCGAGATCAGATACATCTTTTGAGACATTTTTTTTTTATTTTGCGATAATTCCGCCCACCAGGTTTCCGATCAATGGAGCGAGAGCCGCAAAAATAGGGAGAATGAACCCTCCTTGCTGGCTCTTAAGAGCAGCCTGTTTACGTTTCAAACCTGTTCGTTTGTCAGCCAGCAATCTGATGAGCTTCTTCTGTTTTTTCAGTTTCCGGTGTTGAGAAGGCGAAAGTTTTAAATTTCCTTTTAATATATTGAGACATAACTCACACAGCGTTTTTAGAAAGTCGGGCGAGCAGTGATCGAGAATATCTTTACGCTTCTGAGGCGTGGAATGATACAGAGCTTGAAGCAGGGGAGCATTTCGTTTTATTCTCGCAGACATGGTTTTTTACTTTGTTTTAGGTATATAAACAACAGGCCACTCTTTAGGCAGTATACCCGACCTCATTCGAAAATGTTCTGGACAGGTTGGCGTAAGGTCAAGAATTAAATAACCGTGAGGTTCTCTGGTAGCGTCTTCAAAACTGTCTAAGAAAAGAGCCTTTGCTGTCGGGAAGATTTGGCGAGCTAATATATTTATTTGTAATCTGTCTCTCAGGTTCTTAAACAACACCATATAATTACTGTACTTCCCCTGATGAAATACATTCTGCGTCAACATTATTACGCTCCAATTTCTGTGATGTCTGAATTCTGTGAATAATTTTACCACTTCAGGATGGTCCGAGGCTTGAAAGATGACGTCGTCCAGAATTATTAAAATGCTTTTATTCGCTGGAAACAAGTCTTCATCCTCAAAAGAGTCAGGCAAACCTTTGATGAACTTGATCTTTTTATAAATTTTTTGCAATCCGTCATACATAGGTTGGAAAGACTTATAAATCCACACAATTGCTTCAGGTTCATGATCCATGACATGACTACAATCCATCAACATTTTCTGCACAAAATAAGTTTTCCCGCAGCCGCTAGGACTGGCGATAAGACATGAAAAAGGTGTTTTAAATCGAGGATCAAATAAAGTCTCTTGTGCATGACCTGAATGCAGCATTTTTTTTTCTTTTTAATAGTAGAAAAAAAAAGAATAACAAGAAGAAAAGACAAAAATTATTTTACTCCCCTCTGTAAATTATGGATGAACAAGTCAGTATCCAAACGGCAAGGTTGTTCCGTCAGGATAAAGCCTCCGTTTGTCGTAAACCACGCGAAACTTTTTCTGAAATGTGGCATTTTTTAACACGAACCCTCTTTTATCACGCCTGATTGTGTGCTGCGGTACCTGAATCAACCCATCTCTGGAGCCGCCGGTCAAGTAACCTTCCACCAGCTCTTTGATGCTGTCAAAATTGACAGTTTGGCTACATTCGGTCGTATGAGTTATTCTTTCACAGACATTTTTATTTTTCGTTCATTCTTGGTTTGATAAGCATAACTTTTGGGCCCTGTAGAAACAAATTCCTGTATGCTGTCTCCTCCCAATTCGTCAGTCAGGTCACCCAGGTAATTTCCGAGCTTAAGTGGGGCCTGCCCTTGTTTCAGCACATAGATCAGACTGTCTGTATCTACGTACAAAACCCTTTCCTGTAAAGGCTCCATACAGCTTAAAAGCTTCAATCGTGCATAAGCGGTCGTAAAGGCGCCTATGAACACGTTGTTAACCTTGCCCGGACGGATCACGCATTTTTTGTTGTAGTTCCACTGTAACAGACATGCGTCAGGGTTCAGAAAGTGGAAATACTCGACGGTGTATTTACCTGAGAATAAGAATCTGAAAAACTCGTCAGGATCGCTCACAATAACCGTCTGTGTGAGACTGTCCCTTTGACAATATTTTCCCCAGAATGCGTTTAACAAGTTTTTAAACAAAAACCGTTTAGCAGGATTGAACGCAATTTTGTCCGGATCTAACTGGATACCTTGATGCAGTTTGTAGTCTCTCACATACTTCTCCTTACTTTCCTCATCGACTGCTTCGGCCGGGTAGCCTGAGGCCTCCTGCTTACCCTTCACCTCTGTGATTTTTTCCACGCGATAACCAGATCGCAATGCTTTCTGAAATTCAACGCTCACCCAGACACCGGTCAGAGCCCTTTCCTGATTGCTGTGGGAACAGGAACTTGTCTGATTATTTTTTTTCTGTGCAGGTGCGGCAAAGCGTGAACACTAACTTACCGTGCGCAGTTCTGCACGGCAGGACTGGGAAATAGAGGCCTCTAGGAGGATAGACAACCGCTCTGATGAACCCAAAATAATTGTCGGGATGCTCAAAGTTTCGGTATATTGTCGGGTGTCCCAGAGGATAAGGAAATCTGCTGTTCACATAGGGGTACAGTGAAGTGAAATCCACGTACTGAACAGTTTCATCAGCAGCTGCGGTGTGTCTCAATTTGAACACGGAAGTTCTCCCTTCAAAAAGAGCGTCCCGCGGGACCAGAGGCTCTGGCGGATTCATTTTTTTGAGAAAGTTAATCACCCTCTGATCAGATCGCTTCATTTCAGCCCACTCGTGCTCCCACACAATCTCGAGTCGGACGCCGAACTTGGATTGCAGGATTCTGTCTCTCATCGCTGGCCGCGCGGATCTGTTCAAAGGTTACGTCTCTCAAAGGGCATTTTTCATTTAGAATAAAACATTGATAACAAGCGTGCCAGAAACAGCCGTGAAAACTGAAGACCGTCGGCATACCTGAAACAACAGAAAACCCGTCTGCAAAGTATGGTCCGATTTTCCTTTCTCCCGCATTTAATGCATGTTCGATAAATATGTTTCTGTCAAACATGATCCATTCCAGCCATTGGATGCCGGCGTTCGAGAAAGTATTTGAACTATTTCTGTAATCCATCGGTGATGGTATGGCTAACATTTTAGGCTGAAGGAAATTTGTCAGAAAAACCTTCATGGATGCCGATGCGATGGTTATGCATTTAAAAGGATCTACATTCGTCTCCTCAAAATATTGGTCTGAATTTAACGCAGGCTTGGTGTAGAATCTCTACGTCATTCCGACAGTAATGAACGGCTTGCTTTGCAAAGTCAAAATTCTCTTTGGACGCGTCCTGGTACCAGTCATTAAATTCATGCTGCTGGGACGGAGTCATCCGATCCACAGAGTAATATTCTTTTGAAGGGAAGGGTCCTACATAGTGCAAATTCTCCCTCGAGGAGAATAAATGAGGAAAAAATCCTTTTGATTGGTCGTTAAAACCCAGCGCTTTTGGCATTTGACTAAGCTTCATAGCAAGAAATGAAAGACTATCTATGAACAAATAATTTTGCTGCCGGTCATAATAATGCGAGGTGAAATGCCCAATTCGGTCATAGCGCTCAGCAGGAGGTAATTATCGTATGCTCGGGCATTGTGCACTATGAATACATAATTTTTAAACATCGGTTTTCTGTAATGAAGAATAAATTTCCGAGCGCAATCAAGACCGTATGAAAACCAGCTATCGCCTTTTAAAGTTTTGGCGCAGACTAGAAACAGTACGTGCACGCCGTTCTGATCAAAATATGATTCAAAATCATAGAACACTATCTTGTCATCCAATTGATTGGATTTAGCGAGAGGTTGAATATAGCAGAGGTGGTCGCTGATTGCTATAGGAGAGCCAGGGGCTATTTTTTCACCGCAAATGGTGCATTTTGTTCCACAGACGTGTCCTTTTTCCTGCTTAGTTATGGGTACGTGATAAATTCTTTTACAGAGCGCACACATCTTGGTCGTCTTGCATTCACTCGCAAAGATTTCGGCGCGAGGCTTGAAATTGGGTTCCTTGTGTTTGTTGTAACATAAAGAATTGTGACAGGACCGATTACAGCCTCCGCAATATACAGGATCGTACTCTTTGCCTATGCAAGGGGCTTTGCGACATATTTGACAATATCCTCCGCACAAATGTGTGCTAGGGTTATTGTAGCCTGAAAAACAATGCTGGCAAAAATGTTTTGATCCGAAAAAACCCTTTGGGTTTTTTATCCCGAAGTAATGCTGGTCGTGTAACAGAAGAAGGCAAGCGTTTGTGCGATCTCGGAAATCGGTCTCAAATTTAGAGAGAACAGGATTTTTGGAGTTCTTATAAAACACTACGATTTTTCTTTGTAGTAGGTTTTCAAATTTGGCCACGTCGGTGAACGTGACGGGCGTCTGCTCTGTAAGCCCTGCGTCATGTTGCCATTGTTTAGCTTGCTGTAAAGCCTCTGAGTCTGTAAAGCTGTTATTATAGACATGGGCTAGACTGATAGCGAAACAAAGTTTATTGTCAGAATTCTGTGCTATGTACAGGTGACGTCTTTTTTTATTGATGAGTTCACAGGCTGAAGTTTTTGTTGCTTTGCGCTTCACCCCGCCGGAAGGATCTCTTACTATTTGTAGAACAAATTCAAGGTCACCGTGCGATGGGAGCTCCGCATTCGATTGCACCAATTCATCCAGAAAATCCATAAAAGCTGTTTGTATGTCGTCATCATTGCTGACGTGAATATTTAAATGCCTGCTAAAATTATCTCCAACCAGTTATAGCTGAACAACATCATTTCGTCTGGCTAAAGAACCTGCATTATCTGCTAGTTCAACGAGATGATTCATAATTTCTACATAATATGAAGCATGATCTGGCGCGGAATCTTCACAAGTGGGAGGAATTCTGAAGGGACGCCTAAGTTCAACGTTATTAAAACGCTCGCGTTCAAGCAACGGTGAGAACGGAGGAGTTTTGACAGAAGTAGCAGCAGCAGACGCTGCAGACGCGGCTGACACAGACGGTGCAGGGAGAGGAGGGGGCGAAGGTAGAGGAGGAGGGGGAATTGCAGCAGGAGTGGCAGACGCGGCCGCCACAGGAGGAGGAGGAGGGGGAATTGCAGCTGCAGCTGGAGGATTCCCTGAATTGGGTGAATTTTGTAAAACTTCCAAAGCAGATGAGAGTCGGGTCAAAACGAGTATTGAATTCTGTAGAAGTGATGCGTATTCATTTACATTAGAATTTTGATCCTGACTGACGGAATGCTGCGGCGCGGTATTTTGCAGGGAACTATTTAATCGTGTTATTAAACCGCTTGCAGCGCAGTCACCGGCGCGTTCAACGCGCCCCACGACGGAGCTGCAGACTGATCTCTTGATCCGGCGGTTTGTAGACCGGTGATGGTTCTGCCGCGGGACTCTATCCCGGCAGAAACCCCTCCTTGCTGGGACACCGTCGAGCCAGAAAAATCCTCCTGCGCTCTATCCTTCCGCGATGAATCGGTATAACGTTGAGACGGGTAAAGAAGGTCTTTTTCTTCTTCTTTTTCTTCTTCTTCTACTTGTTCTTCCGAATCGATTAGGTTGATTACAGATTTTGGATCAAATATATCTTAAACGATAAAAAATTAATAGGTCAGAAATTATTTTCTCCCTCCTTACACAAAACTGCATTTCTTTTTAACTTACCGCGGATGTTCTTCTGCTCCGGTTTCACGCGCACCGAGGTGTTTGGCGGATCGCTCCACAAAGGCCGCGCCTTCGTCAGAGAGAGCCTATTTTTCGGGCGGGTCGCCACAGCCTGAGTAATGACTCGATCCCCCTGTAAATCTGTTAAAATGTTGTGATTAATTTTTTTGTTATGCCGCAACGCTCGGGGCAGCGTTAAAATACCGACCGTACTGCAGCTGGGGGACGCCCGGGAAGCCGGTCCTCCTCTCCGTATCTAGCGAAACGATATCGGAAGAAAAAATGCAGCGTCAGATTGAGGGGTAAAAATGAAGAGAGAGAGAGAGAGAGAGAGATGTAACTTACCCCCTAATAGTTCATTGTACTGAGATTCAGACAGCACCGCCATGGCCAGGATGTGTAATTTCTCTCTTTTAAAAAAGAAGAAAAAAAAGTCCAGCCCAGTCCAGTCCAGTAACAAAATCCAAAATCACAGGCACGGGTCAGCAGCAAGTCTGGAATGAACAGAGTCTTGTCCAACCTTCTTGCAAGAAAAAAAAAAGGTTCCTCCCCTCCTTGTGTGGCGGGAGAATTATCTATCGATAAGGAAAGGATCTATGACATCTGGAACTGGTTAAGAGCGGCGGTCTTGGGATGAACAGAGTATTTGTCCAAAATAGGGGTGATGGGAGAATTATCTGGAACTGATTAGCGGAAAACAGCAGGAGGGCATTCTTTTCCGCCTTGGGGCAAGCTGTAGACCGTCAGGCTTATATCTGTCTGTTTAAACACATCTTGCAGAATCTGTGAGACTTTTGACCACTCCAGCTCATCCAGACCATTCTGAAGGAGATAAAATATTGTGTTTAATTATCAAATAAAGAAGAATTAAGGGTATTTATCAGCAGTACTTCCTACAAACCTAGGTAGTGATATTCTTTTGATGTTATTTTCTAAGCAGTGAGATTTCATGGCCTCCAGACTCTGCTTCAGACTGACATATGCGGGTTTCTGGCTGGCTTTTTTCTTTGTAATCTGACATGCATGATAGGAAAGATACACTTACCAGATTGCGTAATGAACCAAATTTGGTCCTGTGCAGTATAATTGTCTGCGTCATATTTACCAAGTAATATATGAAACGTCGATCATGTGTTAGGACTGCGCATTCTCCCACCAGCTTTTCTATTAGGACGTCAAGTTTTTTAAAAACAAAGAAACAAACAGACAAAAAACCAAAAGAAAACAAATAAAAAACTTACTCTGCTCCTTTAACGCGGCGACTCGTCTAAAATTCTTTTTGAATAAAACTGCGATTCCCTTCCCCATTCGTAAATCTTCACTAACGCAGTGCGCTAATGATTCCTGGTTTGGAGCGGTGAACAGATCGCCGATCACATATTTTATCTTGCACATCTTGAAACATAGTCCGCAGTTAGCACAAGCAATGCAAAAATTCACTGGCGTTGAAGCCTACCATCTGTTACGAATTAGAACCTCAAACATCTGGATCCCATTTTCTGGACCACCCACGTTGCCCATCCCCCATTTCCGGACCACCCAAGTTGCCCCTCCCCCACTTCTGGACCACCCACATTGCCCATCCCCCATTTCCGGACCACCCAAGTTGCCCCTCCCCCACTTCAGGACCACCCACGTTGAACACTACCTGTCAAAATCTGATTGATATAAGGGAGTACCTATAATCTCTAACGTTAACAGGTAGTTTGGACTCTGCTCATTTTCATGTTTGATAATATTATCAAACTATATAGCAGCCGTTCAACCGGGCTTTGTAAGGTTGGTGAATAGTTCATTAAAGGACAACACTGTGGAATTCCCAGTACCAGTGTGGTTGTGAGTTTTCTGCCGCTTCTTCTCCTTCCCTAATACAACCCAAACGTTACAATGAGAAATTGATTAATAATGAAACTGGAAAATAGAAAATTGGCTTAATGAAAAAGGGAAATTGAAAAGTTGTTAAATGAAAAATAGATTAATGAAAAATGGGTAAACAAAAAAGGGAAATTAAAATTGGACAAATTAAAATGGGAACATAAAAAGGGTTAAATTAATCTGGAATAAATATATTTATAAATAAACAAATATAAATGGGAATAAAAGTGACAATTACTTATTTAACTAATTTTTTATTTATTTCACTCATTTTTGTCATTTATTGATTTATTTTACTCATTTGTTTATTTATTTCACCCATTTATTTATTTATTTATTTAATTTTTGGCTGAAATGGCTCTCCATATCATGCAGGCTGCAGGCAGACAAGCTTGTTCCTTTCAGGTTTCAGGCTATAAACTGTAATATTTTCTGCCAGCCGCAAGTCAGTTTAAGTAATGCTTCTGTGAGAAACAAATAATACCGGACACCTGGTCACCGAGAAAAATGGTTAGCCTGAGATTTTAGTTTAGTTTTTTTTATTTTGAAAGGCCAAAGCACGGAGTAGTGACTTTCCAAACCATCCTGCAGCCATACCCGTCTCGTCTCTGGACCAGCAAGATGGCCACCACTGCACTGTGTCATCAGCAGCGATAAACAGAGGTAAGTTTGTCATAAAAAGTTGTTTTAAGATGTTTTTAGGCTAGAAAGTAGCCCTCATACTAGCTTCATTTACACACTTAGTTCATGCAATTTCTTTGATACTCCGGAGTTTTCGGTGCAGCGTGTAACAAATCCCCGTCTAAACGGAAGATTTAACACGGTCAAGAGAGTTCTTTGAATTATTTTTATAAAAATTTAGAAATAAGTATGTCTGTTGCCTTTCATAATCAAAACTAGAAAGAACGATTTGAATTAAACAAAAGAAAACGATCGCACACTTGCGGCTGGGAGTGGCACACTATATTTAATAACCAAAAATCAGCTGTTCCACTGGAATCACCGCGTTATTTCTGTCAACCTTTCATTTTTAACAATTAAACAACCCCACACCAAATCTATAGTACAGCCTTTGAATCAAAACAAAAGGAGATATTTCAATAATTGTCCAACAAAAAGTCCACAATTAGGTGTTCAAAAATAAGGATCCGTGCGCACACACACAAAAAACGACGTTGGGGCGCAAATATTTCATCAGTCTTTGTCTGACTTGGGCGAAGACCTGCAGCGCTCCAGGTATTGGGTCCGATCCTTGCCCCGTGTGGCTTTTATCTTCTTGTTGGTTTTTATTGGCAGTTGGCAATAAACTTTCAGTAGCATTACCGCCACCTACTGGTATGGAGTGTGGTTCGTGATGATCTATATATTTTCCCCTACTTTTACTTCATATCTAATCCCTACAATAATTTCTGACTAAACATACACACCTACTTATATAACCTTACTTGCCTATAGCTTTATGTACCACTCTTTGTTATTCTTTACACATTCACAACCATCTTACTCTACTCAGATTCTTTGAAATAACTTTGTTTTTTTAAGAAATCAAATAATTATTTCAATATGTCTACTCCCCAAATCCCTCCTCAAATAATCTAGTAAATTAAACCTTTCTTTAATACCTTCACACTCTCTCAACATCCTCTTCTTCATATTTATAACACTCTAAAAATAACATGCTCTACTGTTTCAAACTTCTCACAATATTCACACTTTCCTGTTTTATGCTTCTGTATTTTAAAAAGTGAATAATTAAGCCCTGTATGACCGAACCTTAACCCTGTTATTATTCTTTCCTCCTTTCTGTTTTTTCTTCCCTTTCTTTTCCTTCCTACAAACTTCTGAATTTTATAAAACCATCTTCCTGTTAAACCTTCATCCCACCTGCTCTGCCATATTTTCATCAGCTCCTCTTTGACTTTACTTTCCCCTTCAGATTTACTTGTCCTAACTGTAAACCTAAGAGGATTATGTATTGCCTTCTTTGCCATTTTATCAACCCTCTCGTTTCCTTCTACCCCTATATGTGCTGGAACCCATACAAAAACAACTACTAACCCCATATTTTGTATTCTAAATAGAGTATGATATATTTCTAATAAGATGTCCATCCTACTATCCGTATTATTATATTTTATGCTTAACAAAGCCGAGCTTGAATCTGAGCAAATTATTGTTTGCAGTGGTTTTACGTCCTCTATCCATTGTAATGCCAATAGTATTGCTAACATTTCACCTGTATAAATTGATAACCCATCCATAATTCGTTTCCCCATTTTCAAATTGAATTCTGGGATTGCAAATGCTATTCCCATTTTTCCAGCTATTTTTGATACATCTGTTATTATCGAAATTTGAACATGTCGATAATAATTATTTAAATATGATTGCACTGAATATCTACAACATTTGATTTGTCTTGTTTCTTTACCATTAGTGATATATCTACTATTGTTTCTGGAAGAATCCAAGGTGGTATAATTGATATTGGATCTGTTTGATTAATTTCTAGACTATCAATTTTAAATTCCTTTATGTCATTTTCAATTGTCCATCCATAACTCCTCAATTCTTTCTTTTCCTTTTCCCAAGATGATTTTAAAATTTCCCGAGTTGGATGATCACATTTATTACCCATCAAATTTAACCAATAATTAATTCCTAGTTTAGTTCTCCTTAGATCTAATGGCATTTCTCCTGTTTCTATTTCTAATGCTGCTGTAGGTGTTGTTTTGAATGCTCCAGCACACAATCTTAATAATAATAATAAATAATAATACATTTTATTTATAGGCACCTTTTTGGACACCCAAGGTCACCTTGACATAAAACAAGTTATAAAATACATACCGGTAATAAACAAGATTATACATTATTATACATTTATCTACAATCTTTTGAATGTGAATATTCCATTTTAATTTTTCATCAAACCACAATCCCCAAAAATTTATATTCTTTACCTGTTCTATTTTTTGATTATATAATTTTAATTCTATCACCTTGTTTGTTTGTTTTTCTGAGAAAATATAATTACTTTCGTTTTATCCACTGAGAATTTGAATCCCCATTGCAGTGCCCACCACTCTATATCAATAATGACCTTTTGTAATTTCTTTACTATAAACTCAACATTTTTCCCTTTTTCATATTGCTCCATCATCTGCAAAGAGTGAACACAGCATATCATTTCCAATATTTTTGAATATATCATTTATCATAACAGAAAACAATAATGGGCTTATAATACACCCCTCCGTTTTCCACTACATATTTACCGGAAACTACCTCACCAATTCTTACCTGTAATTTCCTGTTTGTTAAAAAGTCTTTAATCCATGCATATATTTTTCCTTTAATCCCCAATTTGTGTACTTTGATTAATAAACCCTTTACCCACATCATATCATATGCTTTTTCAATATCAAAAAATACTGCCACTACACTCTCTTTGTTTACTTGAGCTCTTCTAACTTCATGCTCTAGGGCAGTGGTTCTTAACCTTTTATTGAGGTACCAAACCCACCAGTTTCATATGCGCATTCACTGAACCCTTTTGTAGTGATAAATGAAATTAAAATCAGATTCTCCCCCACACCCTAAATTCAAGAGGTGACCCAACTAGAATGTAGTTGGGTCACCTCAACGTGGTTGATGTTGAATACTGTCTAATTTATCCAGATGAGTTTTAGCTGCTGAACTGTAAACTAAACAACCAAAATCAAAGTTGGATCTTCTCATCCCTGTATAAATCTTTTTTAACAATTGTCTGTCTGCCCCCCTTTCACCACCAGCCAAACACCTTTCTGGAATAGTCCAATTGAGTTAAAAAAAAAAAAAAAAAAAAA